TAAGCACCAGTGGCATAAGCACCTGTCTATCAAGCGCAAGGTCCCGAGTTCAGTCCCCAGTACTTAAAAAATTCTATGTAAGAAAATTGAAAACAGAACCCTTAAATAAGTTGCTTCATGTAGTCCCTCCTATTCATTGGGCCTAGCATTCTTCAAGTGTTTACTTTCTACTTTGCTATCTAGAAAGAGTCATAGCAGCCCCTCCTAGCTGTTCATGCTAAGATCAAGCTGGAGTAACTCAGAGCTCTCTTCTCCCGTAGGCCCCTGCCGCTGCTGTGCCTCCCCCAAGTCCAGGAGTGGCCCCAGTTCCTACAGGCGTCTTCACAGACATCCCAATCAGCAACATTCGTCGAGTGAGTTCATTGCCACCACCTGGAACCGGAGCGTTGGGGACCATCCGTACTCTGGCCGCTTAATCCTCTTCATAGTTCAAAACACTAGCGGAAACCTTTTCAGTGGTGGGAAAGTCATTTTCAGATGACTAATTGAGGTTAACAACTTAAGTTTGCAGACCAAAAATTAGAGAAAAAGAAGGGCTACAAGGACAGCCAACATTTTGGCCCTAGCCTTTCAAGGTCAGTGAGGACTCGGGACATAGGAGAACCTGTACTGTTAACATCCTGTAACTCAGGGATGTCCCAAATTTTCTGATCAAGGAGACTATGGGCCACAGAGGAAAGTGGTTGATGATGTAGAGTGTGCCTAAGGAGAGTCACATGGAGAGAAAACATTCTCTCAGGCTTTCAGAGAGCAAATTGGTCAAGCAATGGCCGTGACTCATCCATATGACTGACACTGACAAAAGATGTACAAACTGCCGTACAGGGTTTCAGGGTAAATCCTGAGGGGATTTGACTGACCTTGTCAGATACGAAAGTTACATTTCTTGTTATATAGGTCTTGCTTTATCTTGGTCTTAACTATCCAGCAGAAAAGTATAAAAACGAGATATAAAAAGTAAAGCCATATTAATATGCTGAGCTGTAAAGGGCTCAAGTCAACAACTTCTGACATTGCCAGTCCTGCGGATAACCCACTATTATGGACTACTAGAGTATATTGGTTTATTTTGCTGAGTTCACACAAATATTTAAATGGCAATGGAACACCCATGTCTCACAAAACTAAACAAAAAAATGGGATACAAATGAAGGACGGATGACTAATTGAAAGGAGGTCCAGTTTGGTCAGGTGAGTACCATGCAGACATGGTTTTGGTTCAACCTATCAGAAGATGCAGGGTTAGGATGCAGGGCTTCATGGTTCAGATCTGATAATGTGTATTACTGGAGAGTGGAGTGAGGAGGTAAACAGAAACCTGAAATGGGTAAAGTCTTCTCTTAATTTCAGACAATTGATTTTTGACTGTCCTTGCTTTCAGGTTATTGCACAGCGATTAATGCAATCAAAGCAGACTATACCTCATTATTACCTTTCTATTGATGTGAACATGGGAGAGGTTCTGTTGGTACGGAAAGAACTTAATAAGGTAATGCTTCTGGAAATTCCAACTCTGCATCGAACGAGAACTCTGTCTTACCTTGTTCAATACTTGCTTGGGGATTGAATGTAGGGTCTCCACACTGAGGTAAATTCCCAGCCTTTGTAATTTTTTATTTTGAGACAGGGCCGCATTAAATCACACGAACTTGATTAGCCTGGCCTTGAACTTGTGCTCATTTAGCCCCAGCTTCCCAGAGTGCTGGGTTCACAGGCAGATGCTACCAAGCCCAGCTCAACATTTATATTTTTGCCTGTGTATTTTGTTACAGTATGCCAGTTAGTGATAAAAAATGAATTTATTTTATTTATTTATTTATTTTGAGGATAGGGTCTTGCTATGTAATCCATGCTGATTTGAACTCACTGTGTGGCCCAGCAGGCAGGCCTTAAACTTGAAATGATCCTCCTGCCTCACCCTCCTTCGTGATTTCAGGCCTGTGTGACCATGCCAGACTGCGTCATAATTTTAGCTTGCGGACATTTTCCAACTCTGATTAAAATCCCTTAAACTTGACTTTGCCACAGATAGATTGTAGTCTGGCGAAGTCACTGTGATGAGGAATTTGAGGCTCTTGATGGGTGAGAAACATCCTGCTGACTATGTAGAGCCCAGAACCACATTCCAACTTAGTGTTTGGCCTAAGGCACTTCCGGGAGCACTGAGTTTAGGTAGTGTCTTTTTTCTCTATGAGTTTATAATCTAGTTGAGTTAACCCATATGAAAAAGAAGGAATGCAATTTTATTAAAGTAAAAATACTCATTTGTAAATCAGTTAAGTGTTATAGAAGTTCAGAGAAGGGGGAGACCAGTGAGTGGAGAGGGAAACTCAGCAGTGCAGGATGCATGTGGTTGGACCATGAAAGATAGACGGTGTCTGCAAGACCACTCCATCCTGACAGGGGAGCATCACAGGATGAAGTGCTTTTAAAAGCAGAAACAAGCTGGGTGCACACGACTGAAGCCCACCTGCTTGGAGGCTGAGGAGAACTGCGAGTTCAAGGCCAGTTTGGGAGACTTAATGAGGCTTGTACCAACATAAAATAAAAAGCTGGATGTAGCTCACAGTGCTTGCCTGGCCTGTGTAGGCTCTGGCTTCATTCCCTAGCATCAGTAAGAAAAAAGGAAACTAAAGCTGTGTCCGATGAGAGTGCCTCTTCCTGGAGCAGATACACAGACAGTCACTGTAAGGAAGGTCTTTATTTACAAGGAGGGGAATTGGGACTTGATGAGTTGGACACTGGGAAACCCTTATGCTTGTGAGCGGTCAGGTGACACGATAATAGTGTTCTAAGAAGGGCTGGCCGGTCATGGTAGTGCACGCCTGTAATCCCAGCATTCAAGAGGCTGAGGCAGGAGGATCACCGTGAGTTTGAGGCTAGTCTGGGCTACGTAGTGAGTTGAAGGACAGCTACATAGTGAAACCCTGTCTCAAAATAAAACAACAAAAAAAGAGCAGGTCAGAAGGATATCAAAGATAATTTTCAAGGATGCGAAAAATAAAAGCCAAGCTTCTTATATTGGCAAATGGTCCCTTTCATAGGGATGTATAGGCAGGCTCTCTGCCCTTCTCCCACATTTTCCCACTTGCTGTGTCACCCGCAGACAGAGCGGCTGCCCTGCTGTTCCTGACACTACCTGGGCTCTTTTTCCTTTTTTTAAAATCAGGTTTCAGTGGTAGATTTTAAACATACGTAGTGATCACATTCATCATAGAGCCCTGTACCTGTACGCGATCAACTTTTTACCCATTCCCTACCCTCCCTTCAGCCCTCCGCCCCTCCCCATTTGTAAGAGCTTGGTTTCCATGTTCTCCTTTTCTGGTTTAATTTTCTTTTCTCCTCCCCTTTTCTTTGTTCCCCTTCCTTTTGAACATTTTCCTCCTATTTCACAATACCTATTGTACATTTTGGTCCTTATTTACGCTTTTGGTTTCTTACACCAGAGAAACAATGTGGTATTCACACGTGTGTGTCCAGTTTGCTTAACTTAAGTATGGTCTCCAGGTGCATCCATTTTCCTAGAAATGGCTGGAATGCATGCTTCTTTATGGCAGAGCAGTGCTCCATTGTATAAAAATCCCACATCTTCTTTATCCCTTCACCAGCTTATGTGCCTTGGGTGGTTTCCAAGATTTGGCTGTTCTAGACTGCTGCTGTAAGCCTAGGACTGCACATATCGCTGTGCTATGATGTTTTAATTCCTCAGGGAAGATACCTAGGAGAATGGCTGGTTCAAATGGAACCTCTAGTCGTAGTTTGAGGGCTCTCCACACTGATTTCCACAGCAGCTGCACCATTATACAGTCCTACCAAGAGTGGAGAAAGGTTCCTCTTTCCCCACAGCCCCTCTAGCATTGGTGACTGGAAATTTCTTGGTGATAGCCATTCTTTCTGGGGTGAGATGGAATCTCAGTGTAGTTTTAATTTACATCTCTTGAATGACCGGTGATGTTCTACATCTCCTTTTATATTTATTTGCTGTTTGGCCTATGCGCGCTTTGCACTTAATGTTCTCCCTGCGTGAAGCCTCCAATATCCACGTGGGTTTCTCGTTTATGTCCGTAAGCGTTTAACCATCACCTTCTGTGGCCTGTTACTCTAAAATTGCACCTTCCTTTGCTTCCACCCTTTCCTTAGTTTTCCTTCTCTTTCTCCTTAGCACTTAACATTGCCTATATGTTCTGCTTACTAGTTATCCGTGTTAGCCTGTAAGCTCCATGCAAACAGCTCCATTTGGTTCACCTTTTCGTGTCTAGCTTTAGCTTTATGCACCCAGGATAGAGCAGGCCCTCGAACTGTGCAATACATGTCTGAAGTCATGAATGAAGTAGCAGTGCATCTTTGTAAATAATCTCTAGGGATTAAAGATGACGGCATACTTTTATTGTCAAAATATTCAAGTCTTTTTCTCATGAATTTGTTGAAATTTTGGCAAATACAGTTAGTTTGAATAACTTTATTGAGATACAATCTGGGGCCAGGGAGATGGCTCAGTGGAATAAGTGCTTCTCTGGCAAGCACAAGGACCAGAGTTCAGTCCCCGGTTCTGCCAAAAAAAAAAAAGAGAGAGAGAGAGATACAATCCATACCATTGTAATGCCATGCTAGTCACTCATTTCGAGTGTACATACAATTCAGTGGTTTTTAGTATACTCAGAGCTGTATAAATATCACCACGAAAACTTCTCATCACCCCAAAAAGAAATCTTCTACTCCTTAGCTATAATCCCACCAACTCCTCCATCTTCCCTAGTCCTGAGAAACCATTAGCTTACTTCTTGTTTCTGTAGATTCACCTATTATAAATATTTTTCTATAAATCGAGCATACAAATTCTGTGTTTAATATATTTTCAAGGTTCATCTGTGTTACAGCATGTATTTCATTTTTTTAAAAAAATTACTGAGTGGTATTCCATTGTGTGGATATATCATATTTTATTTAGCTTTATTTGGAAATTTGAGTTGTTTCCATTTATCTATTGTGAATAATGCTACTATAAAGTTTTTAAGTACAGGGCCAGAGAGATACGCAATACATGTCTGAAGTCATGAATGACTTCAGTGATACTGAATGACTTCAGTAGCAGTGAATCTTTGTAAATAATCTATAGGGATTAAAGATGATAGCCAAAGAGATAGCAAGGCGGTCTAAGCACCTGCCTAACAAGCACAAGGACCTAGGTTTGATCCATGCCACTCAAGCACCGGCCCCTGAAACTGGATGTGGTGGCGCATGCCTATAATCCCAGTGCTGGGGAGGCTGAGACAGGAGGATCACTGAGTCCAAGCTGCATAATGACACCCTGTATCAAATAAATAAATCTTTAAAAAAATTTATATTCAAACTTTTATGGGGACATACATATTTATTTCCCTTGGTTATGTACCTAGGAATTGCTGGGGTCATATGGTACTTCTGTTTCTGTTTGTATTGTTTCCTTTTATGGTACTAGCACAAAACTGTCTTTCACCTGCCCTTATTATTGAGCTACACTCGCAGCCCTGTTTTAATTTTTTGACTGTTTTCTGCTGTGGTCTTGCCATTTTACATCCCTGTCCAGTGCGAGAATTCTAATTTCATCATATTCTCAACAGTGTGTTACCTGTCTTGTCGATTGTAGCCATCCTGATGAATTTGAAGTGTCATCTCACTCTGGTTTTGATTTGCATTGCTCTGACGATTAATGAAATTGAACACCTTTTCATAGGCTTCTGGGCATTCTTACATCTTTGTGGGGATGTCTATTCAGACCCTTTATTTTTAAATTGTCATCTTTATTACTGTTACTATCTTTATAGGCTGTACAGATTATTAGAGACTGATGACTTGCAAAGACATTTTTATTGTATAGATTGTGTTCGCTCTGTAGGTGGTATCCTTTGAAGCATAAAAGTTTTAATGTCTAGTTTCTCTGTTTTGTTCATTATGCTTTTGGCATTGTATCTAAAATACATTGTCTGCCAGGGAGATAGCTCAGTACAGTAAATGAGCCTGGTGAGCACAGGGTCCTGAGTTCAATCCCTGGTACCACAAAAAAAAAAAAAAAAAAAAACCCAAAAAAACATGTTTATAAAATACATTGCCTAATACAAGGTTATGAAGACATACACCTGTGTTTTCTTGTAAATGTTTTATTGTTTTAGCTTTTCTTGGGTGGGGTTTTGAGACAGTCTCACTATGCGTGTAGTTCAGGTTGGTCTTGAACTCACCATGTAGGCCAGGCTGACCTCAAACTTGTGGCGATCCTCCAGCCTCAACTTCCCAAATGCTGGGATTGTAGATGTGTGCCACCATGCCCAGCTCCCTCTAGTTTGATGTTGAACAGAAGTGTCAAGAGTGAACACGCTCCTCTTCTTAGTCATTGCCGGGATAAGTAGTTTGCGGCAGAGTCTCACTGTGTAGTACAGGCTGGCCAGAATGAGCAGTGGAGACAGTCAACCCCCTCAGGTAAAGCCCTCATTGAAATGGTGTCATTTAAATCTAGTCTTTTCTTTGTGGTAGTTTAAAATTGATCTTTTAGCAGTTTTCAATTAATTCAGAGGGTTTTTTTTTTTTTTCAGTTTCTATCTTTTGTTGGTTCAATTTTACTGTCATTATTAAATTTTTTTAAGAAGTAAAAAAAAATTTTCTCATCAAGTTGCTCAGTTGCCCAGGTTGGGCTAAGACTGGGGACCGTCCTGCTTCAGTACCCCAGACTACCATGATTTCTTGTCTTTACAGGTATTAGAAGGAAAAAGCAAAATTTCTGTTAATGACTTCATCATAAAAGCTTCAGCTTTGGCATGTTTAAAAGTTCCTGAAGCAAATTCTTCTTGGATGGACACAGTCATAAGACAGTAAGTATAAATGGGGAAGGTATATTATTAGTTAGCATTTTTCACCTTCCCTCTAAGTTTGTATTTTTGGGGGGATTTCACTGTGCAGTTAGTAATTAGAGAGGTTCTTTGTGTGAGTTCAGTAAAGGAAAATCAGTGTACAAGTATGTCTAATGCAGCTCTTAGTGACTACTTTCGCAAAGCAAGGACTAGCTCTGCTTTTGTTCACTAGTGATTTCAAACAATGTAGTGGAAAACTATTAACAGTGTTTGTTACTATTATCATCCCTTGCATGGTGCAGCACTGTGTCCTCATGGTTAATTTAATCCTATCGCCATCGTATGGATTCAGTGGTGCTTTTCACTGTCATTTTCTAGGTCAAGAAACTGATGTTCAGTGAGTTAAATAATTTGTCCTGAGTTAATAAGGGTCAGAACTATCACTGGAATTAAGATTCTGACTCCTCTAAGCCTAGACTTTTTCTAGTAAGCAGATAGATGCTTTTGTATTACTGTTACTATAAAAAGAAAAAAAAGCATTTTTCCACAAGTGCCTGTTGGCTATAAAGATTAATAGGTTTCATTTTGGCAGATGTAACAAACAAACAATAAAAAAAGCTGAGGCAGGAGGATTGCAAGTTTGGGGCCATCCTGAATTGCATAGCAAGACCCTGTCTCCAAAGAAACAAAACAGACACAAACATTTTGGTAGATTTATACATATATGTAATGCATTTATAGTTTTTCACCTTCCCTCTAAGTTTATATTTTTGGGGGGATTTCAATGCATTCAATATATTTTGATCATATTCATCCCCCCATTATGTATTAGGCCTCCCTCCACTTTTCTGTCTAATAATAGTCTCTTTCTCTTTTTTGCTTTCCTTTCCTTTCCTTTTTTTTTTTTTTTTTTTGTATTTTTATGGAAGTGTGTACAGGGGTTCGGAGTCTCACTACTAGATCAGACTCGTAGTGATCTGGCTATTTTACAGGCACATGCCACCACACCCAGTCCCAATTGCCCTCTCATCAGGTGGGGCCAGCATGACAGGCCTGGGGATCAAACCCTGGCCCCTGGGCCTGCTTACAGGCACTTTAATCCTCTGAACTATTTGGCCAGCCCTCCATGTCATCCTTTGCATCTTCCACTTATTAGTGAGAACAGATTTTGTCTGAGTCTGACTCATGTCACTCAACACAACTTCTAAATGTGTCCATTTTCCTTCAGATGACATTTTTTCCTTTATGACGGAATACTACTCCATTGTGTTTGTGTACCACATTTTCATGTTTTGAGGCACCTCCGTACTGGTTTCCATAGTGGCTTACTAATGTACACCCCTGCCAGCAGTGTAGATCAGCAGTTTACCTCCTTATTGTATTTCTGGGTACTTGCTAATTTATTTGCTGTGTATTTTTATTTTGTTGGTCCTGGGGGTTGAGCCCAGCCCTTCACGTGGAGTTGCATCTCCAGTCAGTCAGTCAGTCATTTATTTAAATTTTCAGAAAAGATACTCATAAAGTACTAAGTTGCCCAGGCTGAGCGTGACCATGCATTCTCCTGCCTCATCTTTCCAGCATGCTGGGAGACAGGTGTGCTGGGAACACAAGCTTACACCGCCACGCTTGGCTACTTGTACTTCTTTTGAGAAGTGTCTGTTCATTCATTTGCCCTTTAGTTTTTATTTATTTATTTATTTTTTTTGCGGAACCAGGGATTGAACTCAGGCCCTTGTGCTTGCCGGGGAAGCGCTTATTCCACTGAGCCATCTCCCTAGCCCTTGCCCTTTTATTTATTGGGCTGATTCTTGTGGTGTTAAGCTTTTTTTAGTTCTTTAGGTATTTTAGACATTATTCCTCTCTCAGAAGAGTAGCCGGCAAAGATTGTCTCACATTCTGTGGGCTGTCTCTTCACCCTAGTGGCTGTTTGCCATGCCGTGCAGAAACTTTTTAATTTGATTGTAGTCTTGTTTGTTGATTTTTGTTATTATTTTCTGGGCTATTGGAGTCCTAGTCAGGAAGTCTGCCTGTGCCTCTGATTTCAGGTGTTTGTCCTTTGTTTTCTTTTAGCAGTTTCAAAGTTTCAGGTACTATATGTAGATCTTTGATCCATTGTGAATTGATCTTTGTAGAGTAAGGGCTAGGGATCTACATAAGGATCTAGTGTCAGTCTTCTGGAGGTGGATATCCAGTTTTCCCACCACCATTTGTAAAAAAGGCTATCTTATTTTTTTCCCTAAGTGTGTTTTTGTCTTGTCTAAAATCAGGCAGTTCACGGCTTATTGTTGATTTGTTTTATATCCTCTTGGTTCAGTTTTGGTGGATATGTGGTTAGAAATTCATCCATTTCTTCCAGATTCTCCAGTAGAATATGTTTTCAAAGTAGTCCCTAATAATTTTCTGAGTTTCAATTGTGTCATTGTAACAAACCTTCTGCCTCCTTTTTGTTTCCAATCTCTAATTGTATGGTTCTGGGTCTTCTCCCTCTTTTGGTTAGTTAGACTAAGGGCTTAACAGTCTTTGCTTCATTGATCATGTTTATTCTTTTTACTATCTCATAATTATAGCTCTATGTTTGTTGCTTCCCTTGTCTTGGATTAGATTTTGCTGTTTTGTTTTTTTTTAAGTCTTTGAGATGCATCATTAGGTTATTTGAGATCATTCTGATTTTTTCATATAGCCATTCATAGCTTTAAATTTACTTTGTAGAACTGCCTTTGGTGTATCCTAGGAATTTTTGGTATGTTGTATTTCTGTTTTCATTTGTTTTTAGAAATTTTTAAATTTCCTTCCTGATGTTTTCCAGTGATAACATACTGATTGTTCAAAAGTGAATAGTTTAAAAAAAAAGTGAATTGTTCAATCTTATGTTTGTAAAGGCCTATGGTTTCTCTTGCTGTTGATTTCTAACTTCATCCCATCATGATATGGTAAAAAGAAAGAAATTACTTTAAATATTTTTTGTGTTTGTTAAGTCCTGCCTCATGATCCAATATAAAATCTATCTTGGAAAATGTTTCATGAGTTTCTGAGAAGAATGTGCATTCTGTAGTTGTTGGACAGAATGAATTATTCTGTAGACATCTGTTCATTTGATCTATGGTGTAATTTAGCTGAGATTTTTTTGGTTGCATTTTGTTTGTATAACCTATCTGTTGGTTAGAGTAGAGCATTAAAGTCACCTTCCTTGTGTGGGACCTGTATATCCTCTTATGTTGAATGGTGTTTGTTTTATGAAATTGAGTGCATGGAAGTTCAGTACATATGTGCTTACAGTTGTATCTTCTTGGAGCATTTTCCTTTTTACCAGTATATAGTGACCTTTTTTGTGCTGTCTAATTTTGTTTTGATATTTGCTTTGTGAGAAAGGAATACAGCTCATCGTGCTTGCTTCTAAATTCCATTTGCAATGGTACATTGTTTTCTGTCTTTTCATGGTCAATCTGTGTATGTCTTTGCTAGGGAAGTATGCTTCTTTCTCTTTTTTTAATTTTATTCATAAACAAATAGCAAGAAGTGTGCTTCTTACAAGCATTCAAGAATTGGTTCTTGTTTTTTAATCCGATCTAACAGTCTCTGTCTTTTAATGGAGAACTAAGATAATTTATATTCAAATTTAATAGAAAGGTATGTACTAATGCCTGACATTTTGTTATTTTTGTAATGTTTTGTTCTTTCCTTTTTTTTCTTTCCTTGTTCTTAAATACCTTATCTACACTTCCTCTTCTGGGTATAGGGTTCCTCTGAGGTCCTCTCCAGTGCTGGCTTAGTGGTGGTGAATTTCTTTAGTTTATGCTTGACTTGGAAGGTCTTTATTTCTCCAAATTTGAAGGATAGTTTTGCTGGATATAATAATCTAAGTTGGCAGTTATTTTCTTTCAGGGCTTGCAATGCCTTGTTACATGACCTCCTAGTCTTCAGAATTTGTGCAAAAACATCTTACATTGATGTGATGGATTTGCTTTTTTAAGTCACTTGGCCTTTCTTTTGTAGCTTTCACTATTCTTTTCTTACTGTGCAGTCTTGCCATTTTTACTACACTGTGATGTAGGCGACTTCTTTTCTGATTGTGTCTGCTTATAGTTCTGAATGCTTGATGTGCCAAGATTTGGGAAGGTTTCTGTTACTTTAAGTAAATTTTTCTATGCTATCAGTCTGAATCTTAGTGCTCTCTTGTATAACAGAAATTTGTAAGGTTGATTTTTAATCTTGTTCCAGAGTTTTTGGATCTTTTATTTATAATTTGTCTTTTGTTGTTGTTATGTGTGTCTTCTCTTCAAGCCTTAGAATTCTTTCTTTGGCCTGGTCTTGTTTGTTGGTGAGGTTTTCCACTTGGCTTTTTTCACTTGGTTCATTGTGTTTTTTCATTTTCAGAATTTCTGTTTGGTTCTTTTTCAAAATCTCTTTGTTGAGTACTCCATCATATCCTGCATTTGTATCCTCTGTCACTAATTATTTTAAAAAACTACTCTTTTGGATTCTTTGGCATTTCATCCACTTCATTATCTTTGCAGAGAGATAATGATGAATAATGGATATTTTGAGGAGTCATATTTTTTTCATGCTTGTGTTTCTATATTGAAATTTCTGCCAGATGTGGTGGTACTTGTTTGTAATCGCAGCAGTTTTGCCAGGCTGAGGCAGGACCATTGCTGTGAGGTCAAGGCCAATCTGAACTACAATAATTAGACCTTGTCTCAAAAAGCAACTCAAAATACACACACACACACACACACACACACACACACACACGTGCGCGCGCGTACACACACACACACACACACGTGAAGCCAAGGTAAGAAGATCACTGCCAAGTGTGAGGCCAGCCTGTGTTACATAGTAAGTTTAAGCCTGCCTGAACTATATAGTGAGAGCCTATCTCCAAAAAAAGCAAGTTTGTGTCTGTTGTGGTTACTTTTTGCTCATTGCTGGGACAAAATGCCCGACACCCAAAATTAAGAAAGGACAGGTTTATTTAGTTCACAGTTAGTGGAGATTTCAGTCTATACTCTGCTGGCCCCAAGGCAGAGCAGCACAGGGCAGAGGGCAGCAGTTCATGGCTGTGAAAAACAGCAAAGCAAAGGGAGGAGCTACAGTTACAGTTTCTAGCAAGCCTCTCTCCCTTCTTTCCATGCTGGATGTGAAGACTCAGCTCCTCTGAGGAAGTGTCACTAACCTTCCTCAGTTTCCTTTATATAATCCTTTAAGTGCTGAGTTACCCTAGGGAGTGGCCTCCATGCCCTAGGGAGGGGTGTTTGTGTCCCCTCTCTAGCCCTACCCAAACTAGCTTTGGGGCCCGTGGGCATCTGAGGTGCCTCTTTGCTCCAGTTGCCCCTTATCTGTAGCAGAGGTGGGCCACTGATCATGACAACAGATCCTTGAGTTCTGCACTGGAAGGAGGCAGCAAGGGGAACTGAGCAGAGCCCTGGACTTAGTCCTAGAGCTCTGAGACCCATCCCTCTAAAGGCCACGCGAAGCCTGGCCAAAGGATGGGCCCTGCCAAGTTCTGAGCCCTGCACAGCCTGAGCCCTCTACTGCTTCACTTTGTTTAGGAAGGATTTTACTAAATTGCTTAGATTGGCTTCCAATTTATGATCTTCTTGCTTCAGCCTCCAGAATAGTAGGGATTACAGGTATATTCCAGTCCACCTACCTCACATTCAGTTTTTCAAAAGTACATATCAAGGAGAAAATGAAGCAAAAGGTAAAAGTGATGAGGCAGATATCTGAATAGTGGCACAAATTGGTCCTAATTGGGATTGAATCAGGGCCTTACTCTGAGCTATATTCTCAGTACATTTTTAAGTTCTTATTTAGAGACAAGATCTCACTAAATCAACTAAATATTGCAGCTCAAACTTGTAATCCTGTCTCCGCTTCCCATTACGCTCAAACTGCAGGTGTGCACCCCGTCACCTTAGTGTTTGGTTCTATCTTTGTTTTATTTTGTTGAGATAAATACCCATTCTTGCTTAACCTGGCATGTAGGTTTGCGTTTTGTTCTTTTTGTTGTTTTCCTTTTGCTTTTGTCAAGGATCTTAGCCATGCTAGCCAAGTGCTGTACTATGAAGCTATACCACAGCCTTAGGCTTTTGATAAATGTTGGTGCTGACCATTTAGTGTTTTGTTTGTTTGCTTCGTAGCCGGTAGCGGTCCTGAGGATTGAACCCTTTTTTCTTTTCAAACAGAAATCATGTGGTTGATGTCAGTGTTGCTGTCAGTACTCCTGCAGGACTCATCACACCCATAGTGTTCAATGCACACGTAAAGGGACTGGAAACTATTGCTAATGATGTTGTTTCTTTAGCAACCAAGGCCAGAGAGGGCAAACTACAACCCCATGAATTCCAGGTAAAAAATTATTTGTTGAGGTCCAAGAATTATATCATTTTTAAGGTGAACTTGATGCTTTTATTGCTTTTGTTACCTTTGGATTCTGCCATATATTCCTATTGACATAAGGTCTTGAAAATAAAGACAAGTCACATGTCAAAACTGCAAATAAGACATGTTTCAACTTACTATTATGCAAAACCCACCACAACTGACTTGCTCATATTATAGTGGTTGTAATTCCCATCAGTGTGTATTCTCTTCAGGCCTTTCTGAAAACAAAGTAACAAGATTATCCTAAAGCCTTTTCACAGAATATTTGTGATTTTTTCTGATGTACGTTGGCAAGCAGTTAATGTGATCTATTTTTAATCCTTTTTTCTTTAGGGTGGCACTTTTACAATCTCCAATTTAGGAATGTTTGGAATTAAGAATTTCTCTGCTATTATCAACCCACCTCAAGCATGTATTTTAGCAATTGGTGCTTCAGAAGATAAATTGGTTCCAGCAGATAATGAAAAAGGGTAAGTGTCAAAGTGGAAGGGAAGTCACAAGTTCATTACCTTTGTCCCTTTTTTAATTGTGGTTTTACTTACAGTTATTTGCATGGTCTATTGGTGTCTTAGTTACTCTTCTCTCATTGCTGGGACAAATACCCGACATCCAAATCGAAGGAAGGAAAGGTTTATTTAGCTCACAGTTACTCGAGGTTTCAGTCCATATTCACCTGGCTCCAAGGCAGAGCGGCACAAGGCAGAGAGCAACTTTTCATGGTGGTGGCAAAGAGCAAGAGCACAAGGGAGGAGGAGCAGCAGCTCCCGCAGCTAGCTTTTCTCCCCTCCTTACATTGTAATGCAAATTACCTGCCCCAGGGCAGGTGCAGCATCCACACCCACAGTAATCAATCACAAACTCCAGAAGCTGCCCCAAAACTGCATGAGTCTTTGGGGGGACACCTATACACAAACCGTAACAATTGGATATTGCATGGTCTATGAAAATATGGAATGAAATTCCTTAGGGCACCAACTTTTATTAAATGCATTTAATAAAATCATGTTTGCTGTTGGATCCTTTTGAATAGATTTACTCTAGGTGAGAAGCGAGTACATTTTTTCAGGAGTCTGATAGTAAATACTTGAGGCTTTCTGGTCCACACAGATCATGTTGCTAAGACCTTGCTGTTCAGTATAAAAGCAGGCTTAAACAATACTTAAAATAATTTTCAAAAAATGAACAGCAGAATATATAGAATTTGTCTAGCCATGTTTGCAAGTATGGGTTTTTTTCTTCAAGCTACTAACTCTACGGGGGCAGGAGTAGTAGGTGGAAAATAGTATTACCTGGGTAGACTGAGGGCAGCAGATGGGTGGGTACTACCTAAAATTTATTGATTGCCTTCCAAATCCCTAATAATGTTTTTACTTTTTTTAGATTTGATGTGGCTAGCATGATGTCTGTGACGCTCAGTTGTGATCATCGAGTTGTGGATGGAGCAGTTGGAGCCCAGTGGCTTGCCGAGTTTAGAAAATACCTTGAAAAACCTATCACCATGTTGTTATAATTAAGCCAGGAATTTTTAGACTCTTCCAGGTCATTTTGGTTCATTCTTATCAGGATATTTATATGTTATTAAACACGTGGTTCTTTTAAAGTTAACCAGTTATTTTTATTATGAAGCCTTTCCAAATAAATTATTTATAATGGCATTACTCTATTTTTAAATGCCAGTTATTCCCAGACGCTGTTCACATCTAGGGAGTAAACACCATATTTGAAGCTGCATACTTCCTGTCAAGGGACATGTGCTAGCCTGGTGAGAAGGATTTCTGTCAGGAGATACAGGACAGGCAGAACTGTGCTTCCCTAGAGACATACTAAAGTAATCTCAGTGACGTTTTGCAGTTCAAAATTTAATTGCCTGAAATTTCTTAGATGTGAAGAAAAATTAGGAAAATTACATTTCGTAGGGGAAGGGTTTTTGTATTAACCATGATTGAAATTTTTCGGTCCCACCATTCTGGTTTATTATACATGGGAAGGGTAGAGGCCTTTAAAGAAAATAAGTCAAACTGAAAAAGTCAAACTTTTCTTAGACATCTTCAAACATTTATTTTTGTATGAATCTTTAAAAGGAAGGATTGCTTTCCCCTCTTAAGGTAAAGCTATAAACCAGTTTCTTGGTATAATGAGGACTTACATGGGTATTTATTTAAACGTTTTGAATATATAATTCTGCAAGGAGAATTTAAGAAGTTGTAGAACTTGAATTTTTCTTTAATATAGCTAATTATAAATGAACTTAGTCACCAGAATTTATTACTCAAATAACTGGAAAGCTCTATACAGAATACATGTATATATGTAAAATATGGTAACTAGAGTTGGATATGTGCCAAAGTCTATCACTAAGTCTTGTCTGAAGAAAAGAAAAGGGGTATATTTGTGACCTTTTAGAATGCTGAACATTGCTGTACTAGCTTGCAGCGCCCGTACTCTTAGCTGTTCACGAGGCTCAGGCTGGAGGATCCCATTAGCCCAGGAATTAGAGGCCAGCCAGGCAATGTAGTGAGATGTCTCAAAAACAAAACAGAACAACTGATACCCCAAGTGGTCATTTCTGCCTTCAGAAATTAAAAAGAGATAAATGTATTTTTTAGAAGTGTCTTTCCACCTCAACATTGTCTCATGTAAAATCAGACAGCCCTAAAATCTTGCTGGAGAGAAAAAATTCATTAGGTGGCTACTTCATCAGCCCAAATACTTAAAAAAAAAATTTTTTTTTTAATTGTGTTTTTGCCTTTGTTTTGGAGGGAATAGGACATGATATTCAGGATAATAATGAATTGGGAATTACCACAACATTACCACAGACTTTCTGATAGATTGATGCATTTTAATAAATGTTTGGAGTAATTTATGCCATTTAAAATAAACCTGACCAGTGCTTCCATGTACACACAGCATGTGGGGCTGTCACCTGAGATTTGCTTTGTTTCAGTTAGATTATTTCTCAGTTTTCATTATTACTTGCTATACAAGTGACACTCCACACTTTCTACAAGCACTCACTTTGCTATACTGTTATGAAAACAATTCAATAATCTGACTTTTCAGTAATTAGTGTTTTTAGGTTGAACTGAAGATTATGTAAAAACATAAGTTTATCACAAGGGACCATCATTAATCTGGGCCAGACCCAGTTCTATCAGATGAAACTTCAAAAATAATTCATTTTTTTGCTAAAGTTTGTGGCTCTATTTGCTCCCTTTAAGGAAAAATAAAGTTGTTATCTAGTAAAAATTGTTTGGGTTAAAAATTTATCCTGGTTATGATCTAAATCTGGAGTCAGTATATTTGTCTTACCAGAACTGAAAGAAGAAAGTTAGAAATAGTGTTTTTTGGTTTTTTTTGTTTGTTTGTTTAAATAAGATTATTTAAAAGTTAAACTTTCTGTTTTCAGTATGTCTGGTCTAATTTTTCATTTATTGGGAATTTCTTTCACATTAAATGATTAAGATCCAGTGTCAGCTGTGTGCTTATTAAGCGCTCAATACATGTAAGATGAACTTCAGGTAATCAGTAAAATAAGAATTGAATTTAGGAGGACATAATCCAACACTCTCAACTAAAGGAGTTAATGGTAGGCCCGCCTGATAGTTCAGCTGACTTAAGTGCCTGCTTAGGCAAAGCCCAGCAGCCGGCTTCAATCTCTGGCGTGCCCTGCCAGCCCTACCCCTGGGCGCGCCAAGACATCCATTGAGACTGGCTGTGGTGGCGTGTGCCTGTACTCCCAGAGCTTGGGAGGCTGTAAACAGGAGAATCACTATGAGTCTGATCTAGTAGTGAGACCCTGTAGACCCTGCCCTAAAATACTAAATAAATAAATGAGTTTATGAAGCACTCCATCACGGGGCATGACACACCAAAAGAGAAACAGGAGGTCTGGCTTTCTTAGAGGAATCTGATTCTGAGGTGTATGAGCGTGAAGTTACGGTATTCCACAGTATAGTGTCCAAGGAGATCAATGTGGAAATGACAGGAATATGCTGCCAGGAACAGCTGTCTCCTGTAACACATGCTTGCCAGAATACACGGGGAAGTTAGTCACTACCGGTAAGAGATCTAAAAGTGAGTTTTTTGTTTGTTTTGTCTTTGGGACAGGGCTTCACTGTGCAGTTCAGGCTGGCCTTAAACTCAGTCTTCCTGCTTCAGCCTCCCCAGTATTAGGATTAGACATGTGCCACCACCTCTGGCTCTAAAATTAAGCTTGTAGAAAGTAAGTCTAAGTCTCTGAACTTCTAATTTTGAGGACAAAAAGTCTTCGGTTTAAACAAGTCCCTTTTTTCTACTTTTTTCTGAAACAGGGTCTTGCTATATAATGCAGGCTGGCCTTGAACTCAGGGCCATCCTGCCTAAGCCTTCTGAGTGCTGGTGTTACAGGCGTGCGCCACCATGCCTGGGTCATTTCAAGTATTCTGAAGGATGAAAGTATAGCTTTGTTAACAATGTCAGGTCATTATGCCATGCCACAAACTTTTCAGGAGTTAAATTAGCAAATCCCTGTCAAGCTTACGGACGGCATACGAGCTTATGAATGTCACATACAAATTGTGACACATATAGCATTAGTTTTGAAAGTTAAGTTTTAGGTCACTGTTTTGCCTCATGTTGTAGCCACCTCACATTCCAGGGTGTACTTCCGTTACTTGGCCCAAACTCCTGCAGAGCCTCTTTTTTTTT